AGGGAAATGAAGATTTCAGTTTTGTTCATCTAGACTCTGTGAAGATCTTGTACACGCCAGAACATGCTTCAGATTCCACACACCACCACCACCACCCCCCGCCCCGAATTCTGGAACTGCTACATACAGTCCCTCAAGCCTACGCTTGCTCCAAAGCCACCACATCTTCCTCTACTGATGTTCTACCACAATGCATCTTACCAGGTAATAGCACACATCTTCTGAGGCAGATGGAAGACTTGGGGATAAACCAGGGTTAAGTGTCAGCTATGGGGAGACCAAAACACTATGAATATTAAGCCTGTATATGGCAGAAGAAACTGTTTCCACTTGTTCTGAATGTGAAGGGTACAATTAAAAAACAACAAACAACACACAACCACCACACATCAGCAATAGCACAAAATGGCCATCCAGCTTAGATTTGGAGTTCACAGAGAAAAAACTAGATCCCAATCACCTAGATTATCACTACCTTTTTTTTTTTTGACAGAAAAGAATCCTTATGTCTTTGAGTGAGATGTACCAAGCCAGTTCTTCTTAATTCTGAAAACATTTTCTTTCCTACCTGAAGCACACCTTTAATAACTTCTTGAGAACATGTCCCATCCCACTCCCCCCAATTTTGTATCATAACTATGGAGCTAAAACTGGAACGCTATCTACAGTTAGACAGCAGGTCAAATTAAAAGAGGAGGTAAAAAAAGCAGGAAACAGAGCAGTAGGCCAAGCTTGCAGGGCAGAGGTAGGCTTCCTAGAAATCCTAATTAAAAAAAAAAACAACTATCTATGGAAATCATTAGGTATCTTCCATATGAGAGTCACAGATACATCAGTGTTGCGAAAGGGAAAGAAACGATCAATCATGTAGTTAATATTGACAGAGAATCCAGGAGCTACTGCTGCAGAAGTTTGGTCAACTTTCCATTTGAACAGTTCCTATCCCTAGGCATAAAAGCAACTGCTGTTGCAGATTTAAATTGGCGTTTAGAAAGTTTCATCCTTGACTATTTTTTGCATTCACTTGAAGGCAAGGCTCACCAGTTTCCCTCTATTTTTTGTTTCATCTTTAAAGTCACCATCATATAATTAGTACTAAGTCCTTAAACCACTTCACACAGCTATAAGGAGCAAGTAATCATAGTGGCCTATCTTTGAGAGGTCCGGTTACACATGCAAATACAACAAGGTAGTGTATCTATACTATGCATGCATAGCCTCACAGAGATACTGCAGACATTGGTCATGTCTCCTACAGATTAGCAGAACCCTCTACTGTCCTCCTAGAAATTATAATAGAGTAATACTTTAAAAAGCAACCAAAAGCCACATTCAGAACAGCCTTAAATGGTTTTGTTGCAGCCCTCTATAAGACCCAGGGAATTTAAATGCAATATTCTAAAAATGCAATGGTAGATATGGATACTTATTCTAACTATAAGGTTTAACTACATCTTAAAATGCTTTGAAATACTTCCATTTTAGATATCCTGTAACCACCTACTCAACTGAATCTGTATGCCTGGCTCCATTAATCCCTTATTCCTGTGCTTCTGAAATTCAGCATATGCCTTCAAGGTATGTGAGCTTGTCCTCCTTATTTCACTAATTAACTACAATGAAGGTGCTTTTAGTCTCTATGGTGGGTTTTGGATAGTTGCCCTGTCTTCCCACAAGTGAGTAAGAGAGTGTCAACGGAACTTTTCACTCTAACACATTTTGACCTTGCTCTGACTGATGTCCAACACAGCAGGACCTCATTTCTGTTTGAGACTACTGCTTTCTGAAACAGGGGTCATTTACTTGGCTGGCCAACAGAAAACATTCTAAGTCCCTTACAGCCACAATTTCACTGAGTATCTAGTATCCATAATGCTTTGGACCTCTGTTGGCATACAGAACTGGAGGAAGGACATCACTCATGAGACAGTACTGAATGCTAAGCACTCAAACTTCATGTGTCCCATCACTGGAATATGGGAACAAGCAGACAGTTGTCACCAAGATACACTATTTCAAGCCACATGAAAAGGCTACAGATGACAGTCATCTCTGCTTAGCTGATGAAAGCAAGGTTGGGGAACAGAACAAGCAGCTAAATCATATGAAGAACCACACCTCCTTTTGTTTTCCCATACCAATTACACTAAAAGCCCATCAGAAGAGCAGGCCCTCCTACCCTTCAGCAGGTAACTGCATGCCCATCACCCCTATGAAGTAATCCACACCCTCAGAACCTGAGAGCCCACATGACCCTGGTTCACAAAAAACTACTCCACAATTCTCTGATGAGGGTTGGTCTGGTTTTGGTTACTGTAGAAGTCTTTACCCTCAAAACCCATTTCTGGAAATAGAGTTGCTTTCTGCACTGAGAGTCTACACTCTGAAAACCTTAACTTCTATTATCTGAGAATCAAAAATGCAAAGATGTGGAAGCAATTGTTCTTTCTCTATTTCCCTTGCAATGGCTATTGTTTAAGTGTGCTTTCTTTTATCTTAAGATAAGGTTCAACTGCAACACTGCAAATACATTTGGGGAACACAGCAATCATCTCCAGCATGGGGCAGAACCAAAATGGTAACTGCAAAGTATGCTGAATGGGGGGACTAGGTAGGCTTTCTGTTGGTTTTATCTTAAAGCACTGCCATATTCAGTACAGCAGTAATGAAGAATGCAACAAGGAAATGACAAGTCGTTAGTGCTTGTTAAAATTATTTCTCAAAGTAATTTTCTTTTGAAGCAATTCTTTTTTAATCAAGATATGGCATACCTCATTAAGGTGGGTTTGCAAGATTTTCCTTTTCTCTACAGGCAGAGGGATACAACCCCCCCCCCAACACATCACACGTGATTAATTAAGACTATACCCTACAATTCAATTTTTCTTTTTAAAGAAGGACCTCTAACTAGATACTAGGAAACCAAAACCCCTGCAAGGGATACCATTTGGGTGGAACACCATGCAGAAAGGTATTCCAATGTTTTAGTCAGTTCTCACTGTACTGTATAGGTTTAATCAAACAGCACAGCCCTTCTTAACAGAAGTCTTTCAATGCCCAATGCAAAAGAAGGCACCACTCTTGGGGTCTCATGGCACTCAAATTTACTATTTCTGGTGAGCAAATACAACAAAGAACTTACTGAGTAGTAGTAAGCCATAGTATAATCTGTGCTACCAAACAACTGTAGAGCTATCTTTCAAAAAGTTACTGAATTTGCTGACTCCTTTGGTAACAGCTTGAACTAGTTTACACCATGTTCCAAGTTTTCTAGTCTCTGAAAATCTGTTTAGTCTCATTCCAATTTTTTAAAAAAGATGCAAGAAAACTGGGCTGTTTGAGTACAATGAAGATATTTAAACCATGTTAACATTCCTGTTGGATCTTCAGATAACCATACCCGAGATTTTACTAAAAAACCTTATACTACTAAAAAGTGAAAAAACTGCTCTATTGAATTACCAAGCCTCATTTCTGGGATACTTCACTCTAAAGGGTCCTCTATCTTTTAAGTAGAAATTCAGCATATACTGAACCTGTTACTTAGGGTAAGTTTTCTCTTTCATATTTAACATTTAAAAAAAAAATAAAGATCAGATCCCTTGTTGCGAAAAACTGTATCTAGAATCAGTGCTCCAATTTTGTAGGTTTGTGGGTTTCTCTTAAAAACAAATGAAAAGTCAACTTTAAATACAGATGTTCTAAAAGCATGCAGTTTGACATTAGTAATGGTTTTAAGAAGTGTATGTAACCTTGATCACCTCTGCTCTCCAGGATTAAATATGTTATTGGACTCTCCTATGTCCACTCTTTTACAGTTGGACTTGATGATTTTAAAGGTCTTTTCCAACCTAAATGATCCTACAATTCTATGATTCATAATATGCTATCGGGTTTCGTTTTTTTGTCGGTGCACAGATCAAATAATGTATCAAGAAATTCTCAGTGAGAAGGCTGAGATCTTTAATGAAAGGCATCCTCTCTCCCAGAGAAAGTATACTGTAAACCTTACCTGTTTTGTCTGAGCTAAATACAACATTTATGTTGAGGTGGTGGCTCTTCGCATATCCATTATCAGGACAGTCTTTGTATATTTTCTCAAAATATAATCCACAGTGCAGTGGAGGTAATGGACAATCTGTGATAGTATTAATGTGCTTTCATTCAAGAGCTAAACATGTTACAAACTACAAAAGAGCATTTTGAATGCGTGCATTGTCACTCGATAGCAACTTACAAGGGAGCATTAGAGGCCCATTGTAAAAAAACCTCCTATAAACCTAAAACATTTTAAGATCGCCAGTCAAGCAACTATATATTCCTAACGCATAATGCCAAATAATGAATTACACCTTTCAAAGATGAATCATATTGGATTTTTTAAAAAGGCCATGCCACGGGGATACAGTTCTTTGTCTTTCCTAAGCAGATCATTGTACATCTGATCATATGTTGTTTTGAAATCATAAACATTCGGCTTGTCCGGTGCTGGTCCTGGCAGTTTCACATGAGTCCCTGTTCCAAAGGATCGGACACTGAATCCTCGTTTGCTGAAAGACAGAGGGGAAGAGGGAGGAAAGGCAATTAGATCAGATGGACTTTAAACACCAAAGTGCTGAAGAACACATACTGAATTGTTAAAGTTGTTAAAACACCTCTCAGCAATCAGCCAAATCACAACCAAACAGTTAGGCAACTCTTATCAAGTAAATTGCCAAGTGTACCAAACATGCATATTTCCTTGCAGTTACCATCAAAACCCCATTTCTAAAGGAGCACCTAGATTTTATAATAAACTTTCTCAGAATTATGGTAGGTAGCGTTTTGGATATTTCTTTTGTGCTTTCAGGCATCTTGGATTTCCAACAAGCATGTGTTCTATATTCACTCTTGGACAATACAGTATAGGCAGAGATGGTTTTGTCTCATATAAGTACATAACAATACCTATTGATCAATATTTATGTATTCTGCTAAACTTGCTGGGCTAACTGCATTATTTCCCTCACTATGTTGCCAAAACTACCTCCAGTGTAATTGAATTAGCCTAGTACAAACATTTATGTGCCTGGCACTTTTCTCCAAGTGGACTGAAAAACACACTGTGCAATTACCTTAACAAAAGTGGGGCACATATTCTGCTGGCGGGCACCTGAACTCTTGAGTAAGCAAGGGGTAGCTTCATTCTGTTCCCATGAACAACTACTTGTTTAATAATTATAATTATACAGAGGCAGGAACCTGCTTGTCTTTAGGGGTAATGTCAAAATGTTCTTTCTGATTAACCTAAATACATTTACTTGAATCTCAGCAAATCCTTCAGTAACATTACGAAACATTACAATATATTTGCTGAGTAACAGGACCAAAAAGAGGTTGTTTTCTAGTGGTCTAATGGACAAAGTTACATGGTAAAATACTGTCAATATTGTCCAGAATGCTGAAACATTTGGCTTTATAATGACAATCTAACTTCTGAAACAGGTCAAGAATGGCTTAATTTTTATTTTTTTTTTTTTAAGGACCCACACTTTCAGCTTCAATAATTTATCAGAGACTGAATGGAAAGAACAGTGTTAAAACAAAAACAAAAAGCAACCCAATGCCCAGCCCCCCTCTCCCAAAGTTATAGAGCCTTCTTCTGAAGAGAGCGAACAGGAGACTGGGAACCAGTGCAAGAGTCCCAAGTATGTGTTTTGAGCGACAGACAAGTTACATCTTGACTCCTTGGTCTTCACATACAAGATAGCAAGGAAATTCAGTAGAAGACACACCAATTCAAACTGCGTGTTTGTCTTCAAATGGTGTCTTTCAAGTGATCCAAAAAGCTTCTACACAGAGCCTAACTGTGATCAAGCTTTGCCCCAAGCTCAGACACTGCTATGCAACTATCAATAGTGTTATCTCCTTTAATTTATCCTGCTGGAACGTAGCCCCTCCTTTCTCTGCAATTCTTTCCCCTCTCCCGGTCCTTCACACATTAACAGTGACTCATAACTGCACCACTTACATTCAGTTTATTTTCCCTGCGATACTTCCAAGACCCAAATTTTCATTCTACTGCTTCTACTGGACATGAAGAGAGCCATAAATTGCAGTGCTAAAATACTAACGTTTCAAACTGATCCTTTTTCCAGGTGCCTCATCCTTCTTCTTTCCTTTCTATATCTACCACTTGAAGCTATTTTTGCTAAGAATTTTACTACCAGCTGAGAAATAGTGGACCTTGGCACCTTCACTTGCCTCTAATGTACATGACCCATCAAAAATTACTTCCCTGAACAGCCAGAATACGCCCTTGTCACATGGAATTTCATGCTTTGACACTAGCTGTTGCCAGGGTACAGCTTTTACACTATTTATGCACAAGGTGTACCATTATGAAATATTCTGAAAATGTTTCAACACATTTCTTGCAACAATTGGGGGTTGAAGGAGACAGAAGAATGCCTGCACAGAACCACTATTCAACAGAGCCTGCTGTTATTAAGCAGCTGGACAGATCTAGTTTAGTGAGTCATCAAGTATCTGTTGTAATGTGGCACAGCCTTTTTAACAATGAACATTTTCTACAAGACAATGTACAACTAGCATTTGTTCTTGGCCTAATAAAACTACCCCAGAAGATGAAAAATAACGAGCTTCAACTTCACCATAAACAGGAAAGGGTAAGATAACAAATATACTACCCTAGCACTGATTTCTGAAAATGTGAACCTCAAATATTAACAGACCTGTAAATGCTGTGAAATTTCAGGAAGCTGTTTCTATTAATACACTATTAAGACCAATGTATGTAAACTATCAATATACTAACTACAAATATAAGCCAGTAAACAGATCTCGTTTTCAGCAAGTATGCTCACCTCAGTTTAAGTCCAAAGCTCATTACAATGAGATCTCAACACACTAATCATGTGACCATGAGTTTATAGACTTTTAACTGAAGAACCTGAAAGCAGTCATTGCAGTGAGCTCTGAGATTCTTTGGAGGGAAACGCAATGTGTCTCACCTGGGACACAACCGCTGCTGAAAGCTGAGATCAACATGGGACTACACTAACAAAGCACTAACACATGACAGAGTTGTTATCACTTGGGTTCAGGTACTGAGAGGAGAAATAATATTAATCCATGCAGATTGAGATATGAACTTTTATCCACACCTTTCTTCTATTTAATTGTTATTTTGGGATCTCACACATGCTTACATCAAGGCATTTTCAGCTTACTGTAAGGTTGTAACAGCACAGCTTCTCTTCCTACAATGGCCAGTAGTAAGTATTACTAAACATTAAAGCAAATACAATAAAACCTGCAGTACCACAGCACCATCCCCTTCCATAACATGCAGCAGGAAAAAAATCAGCAACAGTGCCCTCCTTATAGACCACTTTGAAAATATCTATGCTATTTAATCAGTATAAAAAACAAAACAAACAAAACCTAAACACCACCCCACAAAAAACCCCCTACCTCTTAAACAGCAGGAACACAAGTATTGTTAACTAATTTTGACTATGAAATCTTTAAAACATTAACAATTTGTTATAATTTGCATTATCAGTGACAAGCTGTCAAATGGAAATGCTTTACTATAAAAATGTTAAAATACTTCCTTCTTCCTGAGGGTTTATTAATACAATGTAAAGATTTCTTAAATTAAGCAATACAAATTTCAATACCTCACTGCATTTAGGCTGCTGACAATGCCAGTAGAGAAGCTGTGACTAGTGACTTGCACCCTTGCAGTTTATCTAAGTTATCTTAAATGGTCAATGTTGAACTACAAATCATAACAACATGAAATTTAAGTTTCAGCTACTAGGGTTTCAATATTTCAATCTGTTTACTGCCACTAAGATACCTTATATTCACACCCCTAATTTCTTAACACACTCAGTTTCCTAAAACAAAGGAACATATACGTAGCTTAAGCACGTATCAGTATCCTACAAGTTTTCATTATCAGTAGACAACACAGAGACCCTGAACTCAGGAGATGGAGATAGGATAATTTGACCTTAAGAGCCTGAAAATACAAAGTTACCAGAGCACCTCCTGTACGTTGGGAAAGTTCGAAATAACTTCTTTTCAGAGGCCATCAGTGTACTACCAAACAAATATACACAAATGGCAATGTTGAATTTGCTGTATAATGAAGTCTGGTAATAAGAGAAGTGTTAGCCTTCCACCTTCCTCTTCTAAGTTTGAAGAAGAACCATGGCCTAAATCTACATACTCG